CATCCTTGATCAAATTAGCTACATGAGAACAGCACTCCTACCGTGAATGTTTTCCATCCACTTTCTCAAAATAAGAGGAAAACTATCTTATTATCCATGAGAAAGCCAAAGCTATTTCTATGTGAAAGCGCATTATTTCAGTGGAGTAGAAATGCTTTATTGAGCTGTCTAGATGATTATGGTTCACAAATTGGTACTTATTTTATTTTAAGTTTAATCGTTCGGAATTGCTGTGCTTCAGAGTGGTTATTTAAATTAGTTTATTATGGCTGTACATGTTTACACACTTCTTGCTGTTTTTTTATTGAAGTTTTTTCTGTTGTAGCTATTTTACGATACGGAATAGATGTCAGCACTAGGCGAGACAAGTTTATTTGCGTAGCTCATTTCAGCAACAAGAGAATTCAAAATGCTTTACAAAATGATCAACAGACCTTAAATTAATTGGGATAAGATTCTAACTCTGCTTTAAATTTATCATGCGTACTTTATGCCAAATATTGAAATGCAAATGTTCACTCTAACCACAGCCATATAAATCGCTGAATTTCTTCCTGGAATGCTGCCTGATATCACAGCCTGTGCCAATGAGGCAGCCTCAGTCTCAGGATTGTTTTTGTTTTTGCCTCGGTGATGGTAAAGTTGTCAAATGTAGATTTGGCTGTTCTTTCTGCCGAATCTACAGGCTAAAACTATTAAGTCTGAGACGTACTGATTTTGCACTCCTCTACTTGTTCCAACTGTAATCTGTCATGAAAAGTGATTAAACCCTTCATGCTGACGCAAGGACTTATTACTGAACACAAAGCTGAATATTACTCTCCTCTGTGTTGTCCTATTGCATAATAAACATCTGCTAAATGACTGTACGTAGAAGTAAACAAGAAGTGAATTGTGGTGCATTTGGTACTTTGTGCTCAAGTGGGTCCATTTTTGCACATTATGGGACTGTTTAACCAAAGTTAAATATTAATATAGATTATAAAAATTAATTATGAACCTAAAAAGCTAGAAAGTCATTGATTGTAGCTTTTCTTAAAATCTGTCGCTCTGCTTAATGGTTTACAGAAAACACATGTAGACAATTTTAAACCTGACCCCGAAAATGTTAGTCATAGAGCAAAAACATAATCATATGTGGAACACAGATCTTTTGCACAGGTTTTGAGCAACATTTTAGTAGTTGGGCCCATCTTGAGACAATTTTACGTCAATTTTATTTGCGTAGCACATTTCAGCAACAATGCAGTTCCAAGGGCTTTACATCATACAGCCACCAACTACGAAACAAGCAATACAGATCACATTTTGTCAAATGTCATAATCAAAATCATCAATACACATGTACATGTGCATCACTGAGTTTATGTAGACGTGAATAAATCCTGAGTTCCACCAATGCTCCGTCTTCCTTGCATTATTCCGCCAACAGAGCCGTACATTTGAAACAATCGAGTGAATTGACAGAGTAGCGTAGAGCTCACATTAGAAGAGGGAAGTATCCCCACAAAATGCAATCAGCTCTGCCTTTTCCTGTGTACATTGCTGGTATTTAGGAGCCAGTTCAACCTATTGTCCAGATGTAGATCCAGGTATCTGTATGTGCTGAGTACATACGTCATTACTATTTATGGTAATTGACTGGAAGGGAAGTGTTACCCTGCAAAGGTTTAGTACTATATCCTTTGTTTTACTGGTATTGAACTGGAGTTTATTTCTCCTGTGTCATGCCACAAAGTCCCCCAACCAGACTTCTGTACGCCCCCCCTCCCCCACCCTCACCTGCTCTCCCTCCTTTTATACATGACACACTTGCAGCATTGCCAGAGAAATTCTGTATGTGTGTCAGAGTTGTAGTTGAAATCGGTGGTGTACAGGGCGAAATCACATTGCCCAGAGGAACACCTGTACTGGTGTTTAGTGTAGTGCACCTACAGCCCTCCATCGTAATGAACTCTCGCGTTGCAGATGTACAACAAAAGTTCTCCCAGTTCTGCAGCACATTCCTTTTAACACCCTGGAGCACACCCAGTCTGGATCTGTAGCCTTCCTGGGTTTAAGTCGTCTCAGGAAGGGCCTAGAAAAACTGAAACATCCCAACATAAATCAAACAAACATGCTTCAGATTTCAGAAACACCCATAATACATGAACATTCTGCTGAGGGCAGACTGGGTCATCACACAGAAATAACACAGTGCCGTCACTGGCAGTGTAACATGAGTTTATGTCCTGTATTTGTTTTCCTCCAGTCAATGTCTCCATTTGAATACATGTGAAGCTTACTATAAACATTGGCAAAAGAAACCAAACAAACAGCAGATTACATCTTGTTTGTTTTACACGTTCCTTTCAAAACACAAAGAACCCTCCACAGATACTGACACAGGTAGGAACAATGTGTTAAAATCCTTAAAATAAACCATTATTATGGAGACCTGGTGACCCTACTAGACTTCTCTTTGCAGAAGTTCGCTAAGTGAGATGTGGAGATTTTTTTTGGGGTGGCTGGATAAACTCTGGTCTTCCAGCCTCGTGGCTTGTAAGCATTAAGAAAAGTCTTATTTCAGAGATTGTCTATTGAAAAAATTTGATAAAAATGGAACAAGTCTTAATGCAAATTATGTAATTTTTAATCATACTTTTTAAAATCCTGCCACTCCAATATTTTTTTTTCATTTTAAGACCTAAAAGAATACATCATGTAAAATAGCGATTCTTTAATGTAAAAAATGCATTCATCCTGTAAATGTTGAGATTGCCAGTAAATCTAATGTCATCTACATATGCATATTTTGTAAAAAAAAAATAGTAACTTATTTATTTATTTTTATGAGGTTGCTTTCTCTGGTGAATACTCAAATCAAATTGAGATTTAGATTATGCTGTTGCAAGTTAAGGTTAATTTCAAACATCTTATTAAAAGTTTTTACACGTATAAATACTGAGGCCAGGACCTTTTTCACAAAGGTGATTTGGCTGAGGAAGGTGGCAATGCAAATTCAAACGGTAACAAAGCAAATGTTTAAATGTATAAAATTTAAACATGAATAATTTTACAATCCTTAGGGATGTCCATAATTGTAGCATGTGCTGTAAATTGAAATAGCGAGGACATTTGAATCATAGAGCAAACATAAAAATCTATGTCATCCTTTTATGTTGTTAAAGGGATGAGATAACATCTCTTAGTTGTAATTTTAAAACAGAATCTCTCAATTTCAAATCACTTTTCAGCTCCTCATAATTCTCCATCTTTAATAATGAATGAGGAAGATAAGCATGGCCTTGTGCCTTTTCCAGTCAATGAATCTCCATTGATATTTAACCGTCATTTGTTGGAATAATTGTTGGAAATCCTGCTGGACTCAGAATGCTTTTCATTCTTGTTTTCCAAGTACATGCAGATTAAATGATTTCCTTTCATTGTACTTAACATGCCTGACCTAGTGGTAACCTTTTCTTTGGAAATGAGGACAATACATCGGGTGTTAAGTCTGTGCTTGACCACTTTTGTTTCACAAACAGAAGGGGGGACATTTACAGTAAATGCAGTTCGATCAGGAGCAGATTTGCATGTTAACACTCGTCAAAAGGAGAGATATTTTAATCTCCAGTGTATTAGTAGAAATGTATTCGCTTTTCAATCCAAATTTGTCTCCTTTTTTTTCTACGTAACAATTCATTGATGTGACAATTTATGGTCTACTGGCACACTTCTTCTTGCCTCTTCCTGCGTTGCCAGAAAACCTGAAGTCAGACGTCACTGATTCCCGCACCCACTCAGAGGGATGGGCCCTGAGGAACCCACGACCTCTTGAAAAAATGTTAAAACACACAAACTCAGGCAGTTTTTAAAATGTCTAACTTGTCCTTACAAATTCCATGTTGTGAAATGGCATGAGTAATGCTTTTATGGAGTTAGCAGCTTAAGTAAATCACTTGCTCAACTCCTTGCTTCCCTGAAAGACTTGGATGTGTCTGATGTTGGAGGGGTTTCATTATTTAGGATTGTTTCATTAATTCCTTTCTGTTCCAGACTCTGTGAGGTCTGAGGAGGAGTCTAGACAGACTTTTGTGGTTTTTATTTCAAGAGTTTTGACACAAGTTAAGGTATCATATCTTATACACCCAGGCTTTTAGGTTTACTTGATTTAGTTTTTTCTATTGGCAATTAGAGCTTGCAAATACCTCTTATAATTCAATGACAATCACAAAGTTAAGTGTGTTTTAGGTTCCAGATACAAACACACAGTGTATAATTGCTAATTGGAAGGATAATAATAATAATAATAATAATAATAATAATAATAATAATGATAATAATAATAATAATAATAATAATAATAATAATAATGTTTCTTTCAAAATCTCATAAAAATAAAAGCCAAAAAAGTGTAATGTGCTTGGAAAAAGCCACTCTGTTTTTTTTTTTTTTTTTTTGAAGAACCACCTTTTGCTGCAGTTACGGTTTCAAGTCTTTCAGAGTGTTAACGTGTTTACCAGTGTTGCAGATCTTTGGAGTAAAAATGTATAATATGTTAATAATGAGGCATGTGTGGTACACAATGGATTTAGTCTGTTTATTTTATTGGATTGGATTTTAATACCAAAGTTGATAAATTAGAATCATGCACTTCATTTTCATCTTTTAAGGCCCTAGGAGAAAGACATAGCATGCAAGTTAATCCAGCACGTTTAGCTCACCTTTTCAACTCATTTTGTTCATAAACCACTTCGAGCAGTCGTTCAGAGACGGTTAGAGCTTGCTTTAGTTTGCACTATATTCTTTATCGTCAATGTAGATATTGTCTGCCCTCTGGTGGAGTGTTGCTGTATCTTGAATATGGAGGAGTCATCTGACCTCAGAGGAACTTTAAATGAATCAGTTCATAAAGAGTTTGTTGTTTGTTGTTGTAGAGGAACACAGAGCACTGATCTGTTGTATAAAAGTAAATATCAACTCTGATTTTAACATTTCACCCCATGCCTGTCTTGCAGGATGTGAAGATGCAACATTTTCTTAACTCCCCCCCTACTGAGTCGCTAATCTCAAGAGCGATCCCTTCGGACTTACTCTCCACCCATTTAGAATCAGAACCAAACGGCACACATATCTCTGTCGGCAGCTTCAGCAACGCCTCCTTACGCTGCACATATAAGGAAGACTTTAAGAAGATCTTACTCCCTGCGGTGTACATTGTCGTTTTTGTGCTTGGCATTCCTCTCAACGCCGTCGTCATACTGAAGATATGGAGGACGAGGCCCCACATCTCCCGGAACAATATCTACATGCTCAACTTGGCCATAGCTGACTTTCTGTATGTGACGTCACTTCCTTTACTCATCTACAACTACGCCAGCCATGACTACTGGCCCTTTGGGGAGTTGGCCTGTAAACTGGTCAGGTTTCAGTTCTACAGGTACCTGCTGCATTTTGGTTAATTTTCACTCTATATAGAGACTTGTTGTGGTCTTACTTGTGGTTGATCTGTATTAAGTTACTAAATACTAAGTAGTTGAGAATATGTATATTGTGGTACTGTGTTAAAGAGATAAAAGTGCTCATTTTTTCTATCAGTCTATGAAACATAACTGGGCAGTACATTGTTGGGCACATTTATTTGTACCACGATAGATAGATAGATAGATAGATAGATAGATAGATAGATAGATAGATAGATAGATAGATAGATAACAGACTCAGAGTCCAATTTACATAAAAACGATAACAAATACAATAAAAGAATAAAAAGTACAATGAAACTCGGCATGAAAAAAAAATTCTGTGTTAAATAAATGTAAAAACTAATTGCTTTTAGCAAAATCTCCTGCTAATACTTTGTAAAAAAAAAAAAAAAAAAAAGAAAAAAAAAAAAAAAAACTGGGAAGCTTCTCCTAGAGGAGGAGGAGATTTTGCTAAAACCAATTAGTTTCTACCAAACCACATATTAATTCCTTAAAAGTCATTAGTCATTTATTTTGATGCGCAGTCCAATGATACTGACATCTTTGTTCTCCTATTTCAGTAATCTGCATGGCAGCATCCTCTTCCTCACCTGCATCAGTGTGAATCGCTACATTGGGATTTGCCACCCCTTCGCTGTGTGGCTCAAAGAAGGCGGCCGAAGGATGGCGTGGGGAATCTGCGCAGGGGTGTGGGTGGTGGTCCTCTTCCTTTGTGCACCAACTTTTACCTTTGCTGCGACAGGAATCCAGCGCAACCGCACTGTGTGTTATGATCTGAGCACGCCGAACCGCTCGGTGGATTACTATCCCTACGGCATGGCTCTGACCTTCCTTGGCTTCTTGCTTCCCTTTCTGGGCGTGATGATCTGCTACTGCCGGATGGCCCACATCCTCTGCCGCCCCGTGTCCTACCATGGGGTCTCAGTAGCCACGGGGGAGAAACGAGACAGGGCTGTGAGGATGATCCTTGTGGTGGCGGCCGTGTTCTGTGTAAGCTTTCTGCCCTTCCACCTGACTAAAACTATGTACCTGGTGGTGCGTACTTTGCCCAGTGCCCCCTGTGAGATGAGGAACTTGTTTGCGATCTTCTATAAGAGCACAAGGCCATTTGCCAGCATGAACAGTTTCCTGGACCCTATATTGTTCTACTTCACCCAACCGCGATACCGCAAGAGCACTAGGAGGTTTATGCGCAAAGTGACCACCCTCAGGGACAAGGGAACCTCAGTGTGAGCATTTGACTACGTCTGTCATTATCTGTTCTTTCTCCATTTTAAGTAAGAAAGTCCTTGAAGACTGAAATGAATGGAATCCAGTCAAATTCTCAGCTACAACCAACGAGACTTGGGGTGTGTTCCTGATTTTCAAATGAAGAGACTGTAACCTGTAACTGATCAGCGTTAAACACACAAAAAAAATGACTAAGTGGATATTTTGTCATTGCACTTGCTGTAGTAATACAGATTGAAATTTGAAAAGTCTTTTTTTTACAACTTAAATCACCTTTTTTTTTTCATTTTCATATGAAGATCTTTTTACGTTTGTTCAGCACAAAAATATGTTAAAAATATGTTAAAGCTGTAAAGCGTGTTGTTTCATGTTTTCACCACTGGAGGTCGTGTGTGCTCCACTGCACCCAAACACTGGCTCTGCATTGAACGTAATCAATATGATTTATTCAGCATGAATCACATTATCTGCACTGCAGTTAATTATGAACCAGTTGCAACCAAAGTCCAGCTCGTAGTGCACTAACTTTGGCAGTTTGGACGCCGTTTTATTGAAAGTACATTGTAATGTTGGAGGTGACATTAATGCGTCACATATACTGTTAATCTAGCAAAGAGCTTTTTCAGAAGTAACAAAATGGTGAATTATGGGCCTAAATGCAAGGCCTATAGTAAGGCTAACCTTTCTGCTTCTAAGGAGTCTGGAAGAAAGTCGTACCTCTGCACAAATGCATATTTACCCCCAAACTTATCAACTTAAAGGAAGTATGATATAGCTTTGAAAATGCTTCTGTTAAATATGTTTTGTAGGAAGTATTATTTGTTCCCTCAACGAATGAAATTTCTAAAAATTACCTTGGATTTTTGAATGTTTCCTTATCTGAAATTATTTTGGGATTAAATGATGAAATAATTTGAAGGATTTTTTTCCACATCTTTACCAGGGCTGTCTTTCAATGCATATGGTTCTGTGTTACTAAGAGTTCTTTACTCTACTAGAGGTAGTCGAGAGAAGGATTGCACTGCTTGGCATCGCACCGTTTTAATAGCTCTCACTGGATACAGTTTAAAATCCAAACCACATTTGCGTATAAAATTGTTCAATTTTCATGGTAAATTCCCATCATGCAGCATATTACAATTTGTTTTTGCTTATACTGTGTGACTTTGATCGTGATTGTGGTCTTTGTATTTCTTTTATGGTATTATGTGTTTTTCTTACGCTGTTTTGTTTGAAAATGCCATTGTAACTGCAGAAACTGTGAATCTGTGTGTCTCAAAGAACAGTATAAAATCAATGCAAACAATACGTTTGCTGCACTTACATTTTCACAACATTATTTGTTGTTTGTTTTTCTGAAAACTCACTGTTTTAAGAATCACATTAACGAGATAATAATGTGGTAATACTTCAGCTTCATTGTTTGCTTTCTGTGTTTAGCTGAGAGGATAATAAAGCTCCAGCTGACTTAGTGTTTGTAAATATGTGTTACACTGAATGTGAAATTCATGCAATTCATATGCATAAACATTTAAGACACAAATATGAAGTAATGTACTTGAAGCCTTGCGTTTGGACAAAGTGTATTTTCAGTTATTAAATTATATAACTTAAAAAGTGCCCCCTTCCACACTCTAAATATGAGGGTTTATCATGTGTTTGATGTGATGTTGGAAACTTATTAAATTCTGTACAGTGCCGATTGTGGCTGTTCGTAGTGTTTTCAAAAGTGTAGGAGATTTTAATTTTTAGAAATACTGTAACATGTCAAAAAAAAAAGCTCTGTGTCAAAAATGTATCTGTTGTAAATATTTTATTTTCTTAGACTCATAGTTTTCTGTGAATTTATTTTTTGAACAGTATTGCCATGATTCGAAATAACTTGTAACAGGAGCAGCCGAAAAAGCAAATAAAAGCAGGTGGAAACTACATAACTTCTGTGGACTGTGGTTTAAAATGCTTCCATTGCAGGCATGTATCTCATTTATTTGAATTTGAATGATTATACTTAGTTTCAACAATTATGTACGTGCAAGTTGGGTTTATTTTATTATATTTTTTTAAGTTTTTCATAAGTTTCTCCAAGCCTCTCTGGCTTTTCGTCAAATAGTATTTGGGGTCCAACGTATTTATTCAAGACATGTGTAAAATGTCAATCTTTATTGATTGGAAGACTCTCACGCATTGTGAGTGCTTGTCCTGACAGGGTAAAATGGTGTCTCTCTCCAGCAGTCAGGGGAGGACATCCTGTACAGGTCACCAGTCCATCACGGAGAATTACAGAACAAACAAACTCACTAAATCATAAGGGCAAATTATAGTAGCCAAATAGCCTAAAGGTTTTTTTGTTTTTTTTTTTGTTTTTTTACTGTGAGCAGACGCCTGAGTACCTGGAGAGAATTCATACCAAAATAGGGAAACCATGCAAAAAGAATCGAGGTTAGAATTCAAACTCAGGTCTTTCTTGCTATCGAGCAAACCACTCACATTAAACTCAAAGACTCGTTCAACTAATTGTTGTTTTTAAGAATCATTTAAGTTACTTGTATAAAAACCTCATTCTTGGGGGGTGGAGGGATCTATTCACATTTTTTTTCTGCCTACTTCAAGTTTTTTTTTTTTTTTTCTATCCTGTTGGCTCTGGTATGCAGACTCGGCGTTGTTAAAAGGCTGGTGTTTTAGCTTTCACTTTAAAACAGTAAAGAACATTTAGTAGTTTAGCAAATTACAACCCGAATTCAGCAGGAGTCCTTTTAAACCAGCATGCAGTGTCCTCCAACTCAGACCTGAAGGTGCAGGGAACCCACCGGTGGGGGGCGCTGCAGTGACAAACCCCCCTCTTTCCTTTGTGAGAGACTGGAGCACAGAATTCCCCTCTGGAACAAAAGGACCTGTTAAGCAGACAGCCACATGGGAAGCACCACAGAGAGGTTATTGTGCAGGAATGAAAACTTTTATCTTTACACACCCCAGCCCTCCAACACCCCTTCCTACAAATGCTGACACGCTGCTTCTGGAGCTCCTTACTGTGCCAAAGCTGTAGTAAAGTATGCAATGCAATTTTTTTTCTTTCTTTCTAGCACAACGCTAGAAAGAAAGTCAGAATAATGGTAGAAATCTGTTTTGTTTTATAGTGGCTGCTTATTTGAGAACTTTTCCCACCCCCCTGTTCTGACAGTGCTGTTGTGTTTTTCACAAGGGAAGAGGCTATAATTACATCCAGTTAGTCCACTGTATCTCCCCTCTATCAACAAGGGGGGCGGGGGGAGCTTTTCCTCTCAGTTCCCCAGGGGGGTTATGACAGCCCCTATACCCCCTTAGTCCCGCCCACCCCCTCTGCCCTATCTCAAGCATTAACATGCACACGCAAAAACACAACATAAGTCACGGAAAAGCAAATGATGCCAAACTAAGGAATCCACAAACAGTTTTGGGGGAGTTCAGCGTGGTCGGTGTGCTGGGCCCGTGCAGGAGGATGTGCGCAGATTTACAAACAGTAGGAATAACAATGGAAAAGTTGTGTTTGTGAGGAGGTTGGCTGGGGAAGTTTTTGGCCAAAAAACCCCAGTTTCGCCTTTCTTTCTTGCACGGATTCGGTTTCGGCATTCGATCAAATATGTAAGTTTTTGATCAAGAGGTCTGCCCTCACCTTTCCCTCCCCCCCCACTGCCTAGTCGTTTTATACATCAAGGAGCCGCTTGGTGTTTTACAAACGGCTTAAATGCAAAAGTGGTTGTTGTTTGGTGTTGGTTGAACTGTAAGAAGAGGGGAGAGAAGAGGAATGGAGCAACAACTAGAAAAGGAGCTTTGAAGTGTAACAAAGAAAAGACATGAACAATGGCAGAAGGAAAAAAGAAGAATGCGGCCGCGTATCGCAGCGTCTCTTTCAAAAAGTTGGGCTCCAGTAGGAGTGAGGAGCAGCAACAGAAATCAGAGGGTTCGGAGTCTGTCGGCGTCGCCCTCCCCCCGGAGCCCAGCCGAGCAGAACAGTCCTGGGCGACGCGTAATGTCAGTGTGTCAAGAAAAGTTTCCAAAATCTCCGCCACCGCAACCGCAGAGCCAAAGAGAGGCTCCTCCGCTCTTCCCTCCTCTATTTCTCCATCCATTCGCCAGCTCACGGAGAAGTTCAACAGCAGCAGCAGTAAGAGGAGCGGCGGAGCCACCAGGACGCAACACGCCTCACCGGGAGACGGTGCAGCGCCTACGCGGGGGAGCAGCACTCTACCCCGGGCCCGAGGCGACAGGATAGACGGATCTCCAACTCGTAAATCTTTCCACGAAGACAGCGGTGAGGGATGTTTCTTGGAGAGCGACCCAACCACCGCAGAATCTCTCTCGGACAGCAGATCGCTAAAGTTTCACTCTGGCACCGATTCTGTGTCGGGTTCAGATTCGGAGAAGTGGATTTTTAGGCGTTTCTCAGCTGAGAGCTGCAAGTCTGGTAAGAGAGATTATTCTCAGATTTCTGCCGCTGATCTTAGAAAGAGTTTGACTACAGATGAGGAAGAGGATGTTGGTTGTAAAGAGGCTTCACTACCTTGCAAACCCCACAGAAGTTATCGCCACATCCCCACGCATTCTGAAAGGTGGCCCAGTGTTACCAAAATCAGACAACTTTTCGATGAGAAAGCTTCGCAACTACTCAAAACTGACACATGTGAGAGCTTAAAGGCAGCGGGCAGAGGCTATTTACATGACTCCAGCTACATTGAAAGTGACAAGCAGTCAGTATGCATTTCTGTCTTTGATAAATTCGCATCTGGAGAAGAAAGCAGGGAAACTAGCTCTGCTAAAGACACTTTTTGTTATTGTGTGGACATTTATTTCAAAACTGAACATCCCCATCCCTCAAATGACGAGGAAGGAGATATAGAAAATTCTGAATTGTCTTCCAGAAGTCATTTTCACACTGAGTGTAATTATCACAGGAATAATTCGTCTACATGCAGATTTCATAGTACCAGTGCTGAGGCAGAAGCTACCTGTAAGTTCCCCAGAAAAGCTGGATCGACGCCTGACCCTAAACCTGACCTTCAACCCTGTGCTGCTCCGTCTTCGAGGCGATCAGTGGGCTTAGACACCTCCTCCTGCTGCTCCTCTCTACAGCAGCCGACAGAGAGGGAGAGAAGGGATATACAGGGGGTCGGGCTGCCCAGGGATAGTTTACATTCCTCACATAGTTCTTCTAGAGCACCAGCCCCCACCACCTCCTCCATCTCCTCTACTCCAGCTCCAGATAAAGCCATTACCTCCTATTCCTCTACTATAGCTCCCCCCTCTGAGTCAGGAGCCTCTACAAAAGTTAGCTCTCCTCTCAGCTTCCATTGGAAGTTAAGCTCTGGAGACGAAGAAGAGGTGCACAGCAGGAGAAAGAGAGGAGGGGCTTGGAGTTATCCCACATGTCCTGCTTCCTCTGTCACTTGCAGGGGAGGGGAAAGGAGTGCCACTGAGCGAGGGGGCAGCTATTTATCCCGCAATAAAAATGGCCGTTGGGGTGCAAAGGTCATTGGCAGGTCCTCAGGCAGCGAGGAGGACAGCCCTGCTTCTATAGGCCCCCACTGTAGAGAGGCAGTGCGCCGTCGCTCTCTAAGAAAAAAGAAGAAGATCAGTGGGGCTGCTCTAGCAGCAGGCCGTGATGATTACAATGATCAGTATGGTGAATCAGAAGGCAGTGACAGTGATCCAGCCCTGACCATGGATCACACAGAGAGGCAGCAGCAAAACACTGGAGAAGTTACAGGGATGATACATCGGAGCCACTCGGCTCGAGAACCTGGTGGCCGTAGCAATAAAGCCAGGGTGCAGCACTGGGAACGCCTTTCCTCGCCTACTATGTCCACCACACTTCCTGCTGTATCACGAGTGTCAAAGGTGAAGATACCCCCTTTTGTTTCTAGTCCTGGTGATTCATGCTGCAGTAGCAGATACTCCAGTACTGAGACTCTAAAAGAAGAGGACCAGGGGGATGATGGCAGCTGTGGAGCTAATATGCTCTTTAACACCAGTGGATCACAAGGCAGAACAAGCAGAGCTGCTTCGTCATCTATGTTGAGTAAAACTTACCATGGAAATTTCACCATGTACCGGTCCCCCAGCTTTGGACATGGAGACAACTTCTCCCGGGCACCTGTCCGAGTGCATCCCAAAATCTTGCCAACAGTAACCTTCATACCAAGTGTAACGCCCAGAGAAAGTGGAGGATCTTCAGGAGTAAGAGGTCTTGACACTGTTGTACTAAGGAAAACAACAGGGAGAGAGGCTGCAAATAAGGCTAACAAAATTTCTACGTCCAACCCCGATATTGCATCAGAAACTATGACTCTCTTAAACTCACTGAAAAATGACGTGCCAAAACTCAAAATGCGAAGACCAAGTGGAGGGGACCGAAACAGGGCTGGGGAGTGTTCGTCGGAGTACAGCAGGGACTTGGGCCCTCTAAGTGGGACCGTTTTACCTTCGGGTCACCGCCCTTCACTGAAAGACCTCACAGCCACTCTAAGGCGCACAAAATCATTCACCTATTCGGACAAAATAACAACAGGTGCAAGATCTTATTTGACAGGTGGCACAACAAAGAGGAGTTCCTCTGAGCAGCAGCTTGACTTGGATGATGAGAAGACTGAGGGTAGGGTGGTGGTGTCAGACAGAGAAGTAGAAAGTGATGGTGGGGATTTTCGATTTGGGCAAAATCTTAGGACTTATGGACTAAAGGATGAGGATGACAATGGAGAAGTGATGCCAACTCCACTAGAGGAGAGATGTGTGCAGGAAGCCAGGCAGGTCATCCAAGATATCTGCCAGATGTGCAGTAGGGATGATGATGATGATGATTTAGCTTTAATGTCGTCTGATAGTATTTTGGGGAATGAAGGTTTACAGGTCAAGCAAACAGATGAAAGGAAGAAAAATACAGGAGGCATTAAAGATCAGATGAGCACAGCTCAAGAGTCTGAGAACACAAAAGACAAAAATAAACATGAGCAGGAGAGAGAGAGCAAGGAGAGAGAGAGAAGTGAACAAAGTATGCAGCTGGAGAAACTAAACAGTAGGGGTACCGACTGCTGGGAGAAGTCCAACAGGCAGACCAGAGAGATTGAGAGATCATTACTGAAGGGGGACTCGGAGGAAAGTATGCTCTATGACCGCTCCATGGATGAGCTTTCAGGCCATGACTCCAGCTTAACAGATGAGGGGATTGTGACAGAGCCAGAGTCGGGTCCCCCTGACCTCTCAGTGAGATCTTTCCTGGGATCAGCTGGGGTTAATTTAGGGTCAAGAGTAGCAAAAGATGTTCTAGGGCAGCCACTGACTGGATGGAAGCAGTCAGCTCTTCATGAGATGGAAAGCTTCAAACAGGAGGAAAAAACAATGCCAGAGAGCAGCTTGAACTGTACAAACCATCTAAATGAAACTCGTTTTCCGCAGTCTTTGACCTATCCAGTATGTACGGCTCAAACTGACAACCGTATTGTGGATATGAGTGCTACTACTTTTATGAACAAACTTAACAATGAGGGAATCAACACCAGCAGTGCGGTGTCAACGGGATTCACATCAGCTGCAGCATCAGGAGAAGGAGGATTTGAATCTCCTGCAACCCCAAGTGCAGTCCGCCGAAGGCGCAAATTCTCTCCTTCTGGTAACAACAACACAGGGTCCGATTCCAGTAATGGAAGTCATGCAGAGTCAACAATAGCAGCTGTAGGAAATGGTGAGTCCACTGTCTATCGCTCTCTTAGTGACCCCATGCCTCAGCGGTGCTGTTCTCTCGCGGAAAAAGGAAGCAACAATTTTTCTTCAGTCGACAGCAACCTTTTGGGCTCCCTGTCTGTCAAGGGGGGTGCTTCTCCTGAAGCCTCTGTTGCATCTACTCTATCAGAATACAAAGGCAGCGTGGCAAGTGATTTGTCTGTTTACAGTGACGGCGGTTTACGTGATGACGGTATTCAGGATTACAGCAGGGTCATCAGGAACATTGTAGCCGAACCAGGTGCAATGGACAGGTTGATCACAGATGATCATGGCAACGGCAAGGCCCCCAAGAAGAAGTCTTTTAGTGACCCCAGTCGCCGTAGTGAGGCCCCTCCAGTGTCCCAAACTGACCCTCAAACTGGCAGCACACATCAGGTCAGTGAGTTGGATCAATCTGGACAGATTCCACCTTCTAGCAGTGAACCAATCCTAAGTGAGCAGAGAGAAGAACTTTGGGATTTAGAGTCTAACCGCACACAACTGCTTCAGGCCAAGATTGCTGCCTCCAAGTCAGAATGCAGTGCTGTTTCTGATAACCCCGATGAGGAAGATGATTCAATAGACCACTATCAAAAGGAGAAGTTTAACTTAGATCTCAAGCTTGCTGAGGTTCTATCTCCTAGAACAACACGTCGACTGGCTAAGAAACGTCCCAGCAAGTTACAATCTTTTCCTGACAATGTCCAATTTCATCCCATTGAAATGGGTTCAGAGGACCAGGAGGAGCACAGCAACCAAAGTAAGCTAATATCATCTCTTCCTGCATCACCACTGAAATCCAAATCCAAAACTAAACCCAAGCACATTCGCAACGCCAGTGAACCCGCCGCCTTCATTCCAATCTCCCCACCTGCACAGCTCCAACCCCTGAAGGAAGTGGACTTCCAAGCAGTAACTCCAAGAGATGAGGCCCAATCTTTGGAGGATGTTTCACAGAAATACAATCTTGAGGACATTGAGGCCAGACTTGCTTCTATAGCAAGTAATGGATCTCAAGGATTAATTCCTGGTGCAGAAGGCTCTGGTGGGACCAGTAACATTGGACTTACAGAAACTGGACCTCAGAAGATTGGCACAGAGGACAAGTTGTCTGCTTCTGCTCCACAGAAGACCAAACCCAAAGTGGTGAGTTCAGTTTTTTTTTCTCCCGCCCTCCTTTAGTGTGCTTGTTATTGTGTCTGCTGCTGTGTGTTCTGTGTTTTAGGTTTTGATTGTTTACCTTGAAATATGCACACCAAGCGCAACACAGATATTCATGTGGTTTTCTTTTGTTTTATTGACAGGAAAAAAAAACTATGCAATATTCAGACATTGTGTTAATATAATAAATAAAAAAACACAGCTAATCTAATTGTTATGGTTCTACGGCACCATTCAGCGCTTGTGTTTATTTTCTCCCAACAAACACTTGCATGGCTATTTTCAGAGGCCAGTTGGGTTTCAGGATTACATGGCAGAAGCTATTGAAAGGTTGAGGAGTGTTAAACTAACATTAGTGGATGTTATTAGTTTAATTAAACAAAACACACAAAAGACATTAAGGGGTAGTCCAGGGCCTGCTGTTTCTTTTTCGTTTGTTTTGCCCCAGCATCAATTGTGACTGTGCCAGGGTAGGAGTCATAGAGAAGGCATACAATAATATACTCTCCCAATCAGGGTATGTTATGTAATGCTATGTTTAAAGGCTGAGAGATTTATTTTTGTCTTATTTGCAGATATTAGGGTGGCATAATCCGGTGTTTGTAGTTCATAGCAATATAAACAAAGTGAAGCTCTGTTATGTCACGTTTTTTAAACTTATGTTGAGTAGTTACTTGTTTAAAAGTGAATGGAAAGGGAATTAAATTTGCCTGTGTGTATTTCTAACATCTCTATATAGACATAATCTTTGCTGCAGATCACTGGCTCGGGTCAAAGTTATTATTATTTGCAGTCACGGATGTGGCTGTGAGGTATGAAGAAAGTAAAAACAACTTTGGTACCTCATGCAGGAAAGCTGCAACCAAAACTCAGGACTTTCGGTTCATTACATCATCACTGGGATAGCTATGTACCCCTGTGCTCACTTTTTTTTTCTGGTGGGGATGCTTGATGTTGGTACATGGAATATTTTGAATGGATTATGTGAGACCAATAGGCTCATTGATCTCTCAAGATTGCCTTTATGGTATCTTTTATCATGAGGTTGTTTCCCCTGTGTGTCTCTTGTCTTACAGTTTTGCTCATTGATTGCAAGACAGGGTCTAGCCACCCCACAACCTTGAAAAAATAAGGCTTATCTAGAAAATGGCAATCTGTACTTACTGTATCATCTCTTTGGTATATTATGCATTTGCAGTCGTTCATCTGGCTCCCCTGGAAATGGAGCCATCTGGCACTGGACTTTTTTTTTATTTTTTTATTTTTAATCTGCCATTTGTCAATTTGTTCCCACAGCGGTGAGGGAGTGGGTTTAAAGTAGTTTTCTGAGAATTTACAGTAATTTTCTACAATTTACTCAGAGTCTAACAAAGTTATAGGACTCCAACGAATAATAGCTACCAGCAGGAGGTTGCTCAGAGCTGGTTTAGCTTATTTACTAGTGAGAAACTGGAAACTGTAATATTTCATGGAAATCCACATTTATATAGGGACCAGAACTGGAAAAAAAAAATTATTTTTAAGGTTCTCTGAAAATAATTTACAAATGAATTAAATTTTGTGAAACATTGGGACTAGTTATCTCCACAATGCAAGAAAATACTGAAGTCTAAAGAAAAAAAATAAGGTGATCCTCTATAATTTAAGTACATGGGTACAAAGTGATCTGGATCCTTCATCAATCCCAGGCTTGCTGTTTTTTGTTTATTTGTTGTTTTTTTATTTTCCTGAACAATCACATTGGCTTCCTTGTAATTTTGCTTAACTTTAGCACTAAACTAAGATGCTCAGCTGCTAAATTCATTCCCTTTTGTTACCTTGGTGCTCGTTGGTTTTCCCTCCCTGTTGCTGCAGTCACAGAAGCGGTAGCTGGCAAACGACCTTTCCAAGCAGGAAATGGGTTAAGGGAAATGGGAAGTTGTTGTGGTAACTGGAGGGTTTGACGATGTCCAGTGCGACTGGTGCTCATTGTTCTGTGTGTGTGTGTCATAAACTGGTTTCTCTCTTCCTCTGCTTTGTGTGTGTGCGTGAGCCTTTGTGCATATTGTTTGCCTGGAACATGTCAGTATCTTGTTCAAACGTTTGGAGCCAGCACATTAGGTTTAGAACGGTGCCCTGCAGCTCTTGTGAACTCTGACGGCCTGTGTGATTTGGACTGAATGCAATGACTGTACCGGGCTAAAAATGAACCTTCAGGGGTTTGGAGAAGCACAGATGGAAAATGCTGAAATTCTATGGGGATAAGGAAGGAATATTTTTCCTTCTTCCACCTTTACCTTGCTCAGTTTTACCTATTCTTTTTTTCTCTGCTCTAGTGTTATTCTTTTGATCTAAATCCAGTCTCCCTCCCCCTTCCAGATGTTTTTGCCAGTCTTTATCGATTGCATGCCTGTAATGTTGTGCCAGCGTGTTGCCTTTTCACATCTCCATTTGTGTTTTTCAGTCTAATTCCCATAGATTCCAGCTCATGTCCAGCTTATTCTCTCTGCTATGTCTTTGGAGCATTGTTGTGAAGTGAGGTCATAACTTTAGTGTAGTCCATGCCGACAAGCCAAATGTCAGGTAGACGGAGAGAGAAAAGAAAAAGAAATAAAAGGAGTTGGAAGGAAGCGTACTGGCTTAAAAAAGTAACAGGATTAAAATAGAAGTGAGACGCAGTTAAAGAATGAAGCAAAAATGAAGGGAGGGGAAAAGGAGACAAGCCTTTAATAGAAAAGTTAAGGAGAACTGTCTAGTTTTTGGTCATTTTTTATGTTCCATTAAAAAAAATAATAGTACAGTACTTCTCACAAATCCATTATTATGAAATTAACTTCACAGGAACTGAACAAGCAGGTTTGAACAAATAGTACCATAAGATGTTGCTGTAACCGGCCGTGTTTATTCGCTCAGAAAAAAAAAAATGTCAGTGCACATGCTGTTTTTGTGACATTACTGTGACGGATGGAGTTTCCTCTTGACCTTTTATGTGTGCATGTCTTCTGCTCATTTAAGCAGTCTTCACTTTAACAGGCAGCAGGAATGTGGTCCATTCTCAGCCTCTTCTTTTGTTGCATAACAACTCTCAACTTCCCAAAAGAGATGAAGATTTGCAGTGAGTGTGTGTCATAATGACCTAATTTGGGCTATAAGATATTCTAGAACTAGAACGTTTTATGTTCTAATTCTAGAACATGAAATGTTAAATTTTATGAAATTTTGTTTGCTGCCCATAATCATATCAGCCTACTCTAGTGACTTGATTTCTTGCGTACTCTTTGCAATATCTTCCCTCGGACCAGGCATGAAAGTGTACTACGTTGTTCAATATGATTTGAATAATGAGTCATGTCGACAGAAGCTATGAGTTGTGGTGTTTAAGGAAGACAGATGGAGGAAAGGACATAACTGGAGAGGGAGGGAAAAGCTGGTTTAGATCAACTCTTCATGGATTAGGTTTAAAAGCAAAGTGTTTATAACTATAGATTTATGAGTGACTTTGTTTTATTTGACCACCCACATGGAATCAAATACTTTCCATCTACGTTTTCTACAGCCACTCTTTTATAATCCCCTTGTTATGCTAACCAGACTTAAACAAATGGAAAGGTAGACCTGGGCTGTAAACTCATTTGATGTTAACTTCATAATTCTGTTGAGTAAAATTCTTTACACACAATAAAGACGGAGACTGAAGTGGACTCTGTAAGGTCATAAATCATTATTGGTTTTAGGTAAATAGATACTTGCATAACAGTAAAGACAACCAGCATGCCTTTGCGATGATTTTGCTTGTCTAATATATGATGTACTGTGTTTTTGGCTTAGAAACAAAGTTTTGGTGGATTTTTATTTATTTTTTTTAGTAAAAAAAAATCAATAATGACAATCTAGTAAATATACACATTATTCAAAGATATCCAACCTGAGTGGTTTTGGGCGGCTGAAATCCACCACACTGTTATTTTTCTCTGTGACAACCAGTCAACTCTCCTTCCGGTTCTCCTTTATGGTGTGATGCGCCGTCGTTGCTGCATCGTTTTTTTTTTGTTTTGTTTTTTTCTTAACTGAAGGAGGCTTTTTGAATTTTGTTTTAGCTTTGTTTAGCCTCTAGAATGCTGCAGCATTTTTCAAAATTGCATTCAATTGCCTCTATTCACAACGTCATAAATGGGAGACAAACTCTGCATGAGAGGCTGAAATGATGGCAGCAACTTTGGATAAGGAATTATTGAACCGTATTGTGGTATTGTGAAAATAACGTAATAGTTAGAGTTCAGATTTAGCAGAATAATTATATACTTTAATGATTGAAAAAAAAACACCCTGACAATATTGTTGGTATTGTTTGGCTTAGTTTTATAGGAGCTTCATTTAAATCACTGCCTTTGAAAGAATGACTGAGTGTAATTTTTGTCTACAGTTATATACTAAAGAAGCCTATTAAATATTTGGGTAAGTTTTATTTTTAGAGCACTATTTGTGTTTGTTAGACTCTGGCCACATGTAGTGATACTTGAATTGCCAATACTTTTATCATTATTGCAATAAATGTCAATGTGATAAAAATTTAAGCCAACATTGCCCATCTGCAGTAGCTATTACTTTGGTTATTAGAAAGAAATATGATTGATGACTGTTTTGTTATGCCTTTAAAAACAATTACTTTTATATAAACCCTCCCACCAAAATCAGAAAAAGAGAAAACAATCTCTAATCCATTAATCAACTCTTTTTAAAGGCCAGCTTGAAAGTTGAATGAAAGGCCACATCACATGGTGAATATTGAGCTGGTGCCTGGAGCTCTTCCTTTACTTACAAAGGTCAGCGGAGGGTAGTGGTGGTCTAAAAAGTCGTGCATGTGAGAGGTTAAAATGTGCTGGTGAGATGAAAGGTTCAGGATATGGCTTGTTCTGGCTCTGCGGATAAGTGGGAGGAGGAGGTGGGATGAATCAGAAGATAAAAGATGATGCTGTGGATATCTGTGCTATCTGTGACACATAGCT